TGAGAAATGGAAAAAATGGAAATAAAGTCTTTGTAAAAAAAAAAGAGAAAATAGCAAAGGTTCAACATAAAGACCAAAACTTCTCAGCTTAGACCACAAACAGCTGCTGCTGAATAACACTGGAGTGCCTACTCATTAGGGAATGTAACTCACAAAAACTAGGTTCATTAACATAACACCTTTAAGTATTTTCCTCTAAGTTAAAATATTTATTAACTGAAATCCTCTGGTAGAATATTTGCTCTGCTTCCTACATGGTTGCACTGTCTTGTTCTGCTGTACAGTTAAGAGCACACATTGTTATGTCTCTGGAAGGAGAATCTTTCTGAAATACTTCCACAATACCTATGGTTAAATTTCAGTTGCTTGAAGGCTGTGAGTCAGGGATCATTCAGGAACCCTCAGAAGACTACGTTGACTTCTCCAGGGGAACTGCCAAGTTTCTTTTGTGTTTGAAAAATTTTTTCAGCAAAGATTTCAATTGATATATGCAGGAAAAATTCACTATCCTGTCCATTTATTTTACTACTTAACTAATAAACAGCTCTTCCTGAAATGGATTCTGTATAGAAGTACGTTTGCCACATTCTTTTACTTTTATAAATTTGATGGGCAAGTTGTATGCACTAGAGTCAATATTAATGCTGATGGATTTGGGTTAAGTATGTTAAAATTTAATTTTTTCACAATTCATTCATACTTAAATATAATTGAAAAGGTATGGCAAAGTTCTAATAGTATTATATTAAATAAAAATTAACACTTTTGCACAAACTGTTTAATGTGGCAATCTCCCAACATAATGAATAATGAATTGAAAATGAGTATATCCAAATTTTCAGGTGAGATTTTTTCCAGTTTAAGGAATTTTGTACTATGTGAAATAAATTATATATAGCTTGAACCCAAGTTTTTATTATTAATCTTTTAAAGATCATATTATTTAGAGCAGAGCTTCCCAGGTTATGTTAGAATAATTGGAGGTCTTCTTAGAACATTGCAGGCTTTCCTTTCTTCCCCCTCCTTTGGTCTCCCAATTCCTCACCCTGAAATATCTGGCTCAGTAAGTCTGTGGGGGATGGAAAATTTTCATTTTTAGAAAGTCCCCAGGTGAGAATGTTGCCACTGGTTGAGGAATACACTTTGAGAACTATTGATCCAGACACTGGTAGAAGAGGGGTCTTGGGAAATGGATTCTAGGAATGTGGGCTCCTCCACATACAAGCTGAGTAACTTTAAATGAGTTTTCTCTGGGAAGGCTTATGTTTTCCTTATGAGACAAAGATAAAAATGCTGTCCTACCTATCTCCCATGGATGCGAGGATCAGGTACCACATTATGGGTAAACAGAATGTTAGTCTTGACCTAAAGTAGGAACTGCTAGATGGAACTATTGGTGCTTCTCCAGTATTATTTAGAGTAGGGTACATTGAATTAATTGAAATGTATTACAGAATGGGAATTCAAACCTCTCAGTTTTCTGAGAGCTATTTTAATTTACATGCTGCATTAATAGTAATATTTGTAGAAAACCTCAGGACTCTAATACATAATCAGGTCAGAGGAGCTGATTACAGAAATTGCAAATTAATCTTCTTCGGGCACAAATTAGCATAGAAACTTGCTTCTAAGTCTGCATTTACCAAAGAAGACCCCACCCCCCATCTTCTCCTCATTCTTTCACCCATTCAGAAAACATTGCTGAGGGCCCACTGTGTGGCAGACACTGAGCCCAGGAAGTGCAATTGTAGAGATGCATTCACTGTGCTCCCAGGCTGCTAGAACACTTACTTGTAATTCCAAGGGGCAACTCTTTCATTGAGGAATGTACTGAGCACTGAAGGAATATTGAGAAGGGAAGACCTGATTCTGCCTGAAGGGGTCAGGGAAGTCTTCCAGTTAATGTTGCTTTCTAAAAAGTGAATGCAGAGATTTTGTAGAGTTGGTTCCAGTATCTCAGTCAAATATATCACCCTCTTAATTCAAAAGGAAGAGAGGAGTTGAATAGATGGGAAATGCAGTATTTATTTTAAAAAAAACTAATTAGAGCATGGACGACCAATTTTTTGGCTTGCCTGGGCTGCACTGAGTGAAGAGGAATTATCCTGGGCTGCGTACAAAATACATAATACAGTTAATACACATAAGTAAAACAATTTCCTTTTATATATTTTAACTTTTTAAATTATTTTATGCTATCCCACAAAAGTTTAATAATTTAAAGAAAACTTATATGTCTGCTTAACCACAATAAACACCCACCTTCACAGGCACACATACATGTGTAGGTTGAAATACTATCATCGGTGATTACTGGGTTGTGCTTATCAGGTCGCAGAAGCATGTGTGGTGTTTGATGCACACGAGGTTCAATCTGACCCACTGTGTGGTGAGCTCAGGAGGTGGAGTTAGCACCACAGTGGCCTCTGTCTACACAGCGCTGCAGTGCCACCCATGTGGTCTGTGCTACAGCACTGCCTGGTTGAGTAATGAAAAATGCCAATAATAATCACATAATAATGTTAAAAATTTATGATTCATGGGACTGCATTACTACTTGTTGTGGGCTGCAGGTGGACATGCCTGCCCAACAGCATTATAGGATTCTTTCCATTTTAAATATGCTTGCTCCTGAGCATTAAGTAGATTCATCCATTCACTCGCTCCCTCACTCATCCAATGTATATATTATTCTCTTGATGTAAACATTTCAAAGGTTTTACAAGGCACTTAAAATCTCAACTAATTGTTATGGTTGAGAAGGCCATATACAAAATGGCAATAAAGGCCGGGGATTTAGCTCAGTGTTTCCAGTGCCTGCCTCGCAAGCCCAAGGTCCCGAGTTCAATCCCTGGTACCAAAATGGCAATAATATGATCATTGACTCCCTCACCTCTTGCTCCTTTTCTTTCTTTCTCTCCTTTTTTCAGTTCATGATATCTAATATTTACATTCATCTTGGGGAATTGTTACATGCATATTATGGCAACACAATTCATAACAGCTAAATCTTAGAAGCAGCCTATGGGTCCACCAACAGATGACTGGATAAAGAAAAATGTATATATGCTGAATGATGTAATAATCAGCCATAAGGAAGGGTAAATTTGAGTCAGTTGTAGGAAAATGTATGCACCTTCAGACCATAATCCTAATTGAAATAAATCAGTCACAGAGGTTAAATATTGCACAATTTCTCCTATATGAGAAACCCAAAATATAAATGATATTAAATTGTTACTTTCCTCTTGAGTCACATTGGGTGCTTCTTTGTTCCTTGATTAAACTACTCTTGTTATTTAAATCAACCATTTTGTATTTGCTGTTTCTTCTGCCTGCCTCTTTATGTCCTTAGATCTTCTTGTCCTTCTAGTCTCAATGTACACATTTCCTCTTCAAGATGTCTTTCCTGCTCATTGAATCTGAGGTCTGTCCTACCTCACTCTCCTAATTCTTTATTGGACCACTGCCTCTGTTCCACTGTAGCATCTCAAAGGTTTTAATAATACATTGGTTTGCTACTTATTATCAGCCTCCTTTATCCTGCTTTGTCTGCACTGTCAAGCACAATTCTTTGCATAAAAGAAGTTTTAAATACTCGTTTGTAGAATGAATAAGTATTTTCAGAATAGTTGTCAGGATTAGAAAAGTGATTGTCAGGATCAGGCTTAGGGTGAAGGCGAAAACTTGTTTTTGGCTGGACTGCACAACTGAGGGTATGCTGAATGCTGAACAATGGCTCAACTGTCTGAGTGGTGAATTTGGGATGTCAGACCTTCTCTGAGACATGGCTCCCAGCAGAAGGAAATGGAAATTTGCCTACTGAGGATTCAGCCATGATACCTGTTGTCACTCTTTCCTTCACCAGGAAACCCTTGTACCTTGTACCTCTTCTAAGGGTCTTCACTATAGATTTCAAAAAGTATTCTGGAGCAATCATGAGGATTCTACCAAGATTAGGACTAATTTATGGAGTACCCCAAATGCATTGAATTAGAGAAAGTGGATGCCTTAGTCTGCTTTGTGTTGCTTTAAGAGAATATCTGATGCTAGGTAATGTAGGAAGAAAGGAGGTTTATTTGGCTCAGGATTCTGCTGACTGGAAAGTCTAAACAGAATTGGATCAACATCTGATAATGCCCCTTGACTGCATCATAATGTGGAAGAAAAGCCTACAGAATAGGCAAAAGGGATACATGTGTAAGTGAGGAAGACTAGGGAGGGCCCAGGCACATTCTTTTCTAACAACACGCTCTTGAGGGGACTAACCCTAGTTATTCTTTTCCAAAAGTGCTACCTGATGACTAATGATCTTCTACGTGGCCCTGCCTCTTAATGATTCACTACCTCTCCATGCCACATTAGGTCCAACTTTGTAACTGCGGGAGCTTTGGCGGACAAACCCTATCCAAACCACAGCAGGAGGCTATGTCACATTTTAATTCAACTCAGTAAGTTTTTTTTTTTTTAAATCTTGCATTCAGTGTTTATCCAGGAGGCAGTGAAAAGGTTTAAAAGTTTTTGATACATAGTCCCTGTCTTTAAAATGATTTCAGCTTAGTTGGGGAGACAGCAAAGGTGGTGAGTAATTGTTAAATCAAAAATGTGAAGCAATTTGTAACCATAAAATGGAATAAGAAATTCAGGCTTTACCATTGAATGTTATAGTCTTTTAAAGAATAGTACTGGAGATAAATTTATGCTCTTACAGACCTGCTGTATACCTGTTGAAAACTACCCATGATTTCTGATATAAAGAACTCATGGCCTAAGGCAGTGGTGGCCAACCTATAGCAGGTGTGCCACAGTTTGTATCACTGAAAGCTCTAAAAGGTTCACTGTCAGTAGCCTAAGCTAAGGTAGTGTTGAATGGTAGAATTTACTGAAATAAAGGAAATGTTTTATAATCTGTGCTGTCTGATAAAATAGCCTCTGAACATATGTAGCTTTGGGGTAATTGAAATATGTTAGGGCAACTAAAGAAGTAAATTTTTAATTCAATTTATATTAAATTAAATTAAATTTAAATAGCCACATAGGGCTAGTGGCTATCAAATAGCTCAGGTCTAAGGCAAATAACTGTTTGTGTCTACTGGAAGGTGCAGCAGAATTAGTTCTAAATATGTCTATGTTGAAAAGCATTTTTATTATCAGAAAGTAACTTATTAGGGACAGCACTATGGTATAGTATGTCTTTATTATCATGATAAAGAAATAATTCTTAATAATGTATTTGAACCATTTGCATTACCTTTAAAAATAGGTGCCTTAAAGAAATGTTTGTTTCTATTTTCAAAGCGTGCATTTAAAAAACTACTCTATTTCCTGAGTTTGCAAACTTTGGTGCTGAGACTTCTATAATTTTCAAATGATTGTGATGACAGAAGGAAAAAGTAATTGGAATTGTGGTTGAAGTGGGTACTCTGCAGAATTTTCTTTCACTAATTTAAATAAATCAACATTTTTTTCCTCTATGTAAAATTTTTGAAATAAATGCAAAATGGTCTTAAGAAAGGGCTCATAAATATCCATGTACTTTTTGGGTATCTTTTAATTCAAAGGAGAGAGAGAGAGAGAGAGACAGACAGACAGACACAGAGAGAGAGACACAGACAGAGAGAGAGACAGAGAGAGAATTTATAGAAAACAGGATTTTCTGCTAAAATTTGGGAATAGTCTCTAAAGTTAGAGGATTGTCAAAAACATAATTTGCATAATCCATTCATCACAACCCATCTACCAAGCCTAATCTAGATCAATAACCCACCAGAACCTAATCAATACCCCATAAGGACACAATCACTCACCAACCCTGTCCACCTTCCTCACCATTTCTTTACAAATCTTGCCTTGACTCTCCCAGAATATTGAGCAACCCTGACTCATTTCTGCAAAGTATTCTTACTAACCAGCACCAACTCACAAAAAATCTTAGAGTATTAAAAAAGTACAAATAAATGTCTGAGGCAACCCCCTAAACAAAACCTGTTTGTCCTCTGAACAGATTGGAATAACTTTCCTCCTGGTTTGCAGAAAAGGAGTGATGAGAATTTGAACAGTGCTCCTGACTGCAATTATAATAAGCTGAATACTTTATCTGACTTCTGCTGATCTTTGCCTAATCTTTAAAAAATTTTTCTACAGCAAATTTCCTTCCAGATCTTACTGAATCAGTTTTGATGACAGGAAGTAAGAAGGAAAGCACAGTAAAACTTTTTGTTCTTGTAGAATCATTTTGTTTTGTGGTGGAATGGTTTTGTAGTGTTTTCTTTAAGTTTGTCATAGGAAAATTGCTTAATTTTAAAATATTCTTTAGACTAGGTAGAAATAATTCATGACCCTGGAAAAAGTTCATCAAAGGTGAAAGCTGAAGGCTGGGGCTGTGGTTCAGTGATAGAACACTTGCCTGGCATGCAAGAGGCACTGGGTCCATCTCCAGCATTTTCTAAAAATATATAAAGGTAAAAATTGATACTGCCAGACTGTAGCATGACTAAGAATCATGCTAAAGAGATAGAACATGAAAGATTCCATAAACTACCAAAAGAGCATGAGCACAATGGCTGTGTGGACCACTTTGCATAGTCCCAACACAAACTGATTTAATTTCTTTCAAAATTACTGAATTGTATTTCTACATATGGATGCTAGTTTTAGTTTATAAGAAGAGGTGTGAATTTATTTTAGCTACTGGTGTAATTTTGAAGTTTACTTGGATCAAGGCTCTAATAGAAGAGGCATATGAGAGGATTGTCCTGGAACGAACTCAAAGCTTAGCTTTTAGTGGGAAAGACTCTAAATATGCTTAAAAAGAAACATGGAAAAGTCTATGATGGCCATTGCTTTTGTTATCAGTGAGTCCATTACAAAGAGAGCTATCAAAGGTTTCAGCAGGACATTTAAATTGAAAATGTGAAGCTGTACAGTGAATCTGTGTTCTTTAGATTATTACATTAGTTTCAATGATGCACCCATGTGAATATATGTGAAAGACTTAGAAGTCGCAACTATTAATTCTTTAGTGGTTTGGAAAGTCTTGTGTGCTCATGGTCATTTGCATTTTTCTTAGGTGAAGATGTTTGGAAGGGAGAAGAGACATTTTGATCCACATATATGCTGAGGGAGTAGCAATTTCTAGTTTACAAAAAAGGCCTAGATTGGGCCATAGACCATTGCAATTTTTTACCTAGAAGATTTATATAAAATATCCCAGGGCTGGATCTTCCAGACTAAGAATATTGACTCTGGAGTGAGATTCCTGAGTTTGAGTCCCAGAACAGGTACTAGAAAGTAACTTAGCATATTTGTGCTCTAGTTTCCTTGTCTGTAAAATAGGAATCAAAATTGTACCTACCTCATTAAGTTGTTATGAAGATTAAATAAATATATTATTATTAGTAGAAGGCTTTCAATGGTGTCCAAACATAGTAAATGCTACACAAATATTCATTAAGCAAATACATACCTGTTTGGAGCAGTGTAGCACACTTAGCTGGGCCAAGATTGATGTTCAGATGGGAAAGAGGTGGGAAAGATGGGTGAAAATTGTCGTTCTGTTAGGCTGCCTGGTGTGCATGCACACATATCTTTTTTCAGCACTTATTCAGTGTAATCAGCTCCTTGTCCTTGGGGCTTCCTCAGATGGGGTTGTGGAGATACAGGTCCTTGAGAGCTGCTGAGGCTCCCTGAAGAAGTCACCTTTTGGAATTGAAGAGTGTGAAGGGCCCTCAGGTTCACATTTGACAAGTGTGAATATTAGATATCAAGTACTTTGCACAGGCTGGGAATGGGAACATTAACCCCGTTCAGACATGCAAAGCAAAGTAACTCATACTCTACTTCTGAAGTGAAAGCCAATGCTGTTAAGAATAGTAACCCAGGGCTGGAGATTTAGCTCAGTGGTTCTGCTGCCTGGCTCACAAGCACAAGGTCCTGAGTTCGATCCCTGGTACAAAAAAAAAAAAAAAAAAAAAAAAAAAAAAAAAAAAGAGTAGCAACTCAGAAGAAGACCAAAGAGTGAGACAGAGGAAGGTGAAGACTAAACCAGTGGATTAACCCACTGATGAAGTTATTGCTCTCTCATGATTTAATCACTCTTTAGGCCTCAGCTCTGAAAATTGCTGTATCAAGTCTTCAACATGTGAGACCTTTGGGTGACATTTTAATCCAAAACATAATAAAAAGGCACATTTTTTCATATTCAAATGGACTGAGTATAGGCTGTGTAGGACTCGGTATTTGTTGCATAAATGATGTATATCAAACTTTAGCCTCACAATTTAAATATTTATGGTGATTTCAAAGTAACATTCTTTAAATGTGGATTTGTAAAGTGCAAATAATTGAATAAAAATGATCAATTAAGCAAATAATAAAAATTAAAGGAAAGTATCAAATTAAAGTTTTATTTTCTCTCTGAAATGACAGGCACACCTAGATAACAACCACCAAACTGACCACGCATAAGGGTGGTTTTAAATGCTGAACCCCAATGTCTAATTGTCACAACTGTATTGTGCACTAGGTTATATTTTTATACCATTTTTTTTTTTGGTACCGGAGATCGAACTCGGGACCTTGTGCTTGAGAGGCAGGCGACAGCACCACTGAGCTAAATCCTTGGCCTTATACCTATTTTATATATGAGGAAATTGAAGAACTGTAAGTGGTAGGAACAAGATCTGGACCCAGGCAACTGCCTCTAGTCCCAACAGTAGCTCATGTCAGATGGGCCATCAGCTGCTGAACATGTTGAAAATGGGCCTCGTGCTACACTGCAGAAAGATGGGTTCAGTTTCTTTACATGACTCTGTTCCCTTTGGCTAGAATTGGTCAGTTGTGTCAAAATAGTGTTTGGATAGTTCTTGTTGTCTTTTGGCCACCAGACCTCAGTCAGAGTCTCACACAGAGCTCATGATGTTGAATCCTCCACTTTAGTATGCCCCTCTCCAGGCTGGGTTCATCTTAACTGGAGTCTCTCAACCAGAGAGATGAGAGTGTAGCAGAGCAAAGGAGAATCCCCATGATGGCAGAAAACTTCATAAATTTTCTTTTTTTCATGCACAATAGAAATAGATTTTTTGTGCCCTCCTCAATAATTTACCTGACAATATGCACACTGAGAAAAAAACTAAACAATTCCAAAGAACTATAAGCAAGAAAATACAAATGGATTTAAATCCTACCTCCCTCAGCTGGGGGCATTAGTATTTTGGTTAAGGCTCCTGTGGGCATCTCTCTTTTTAAAAAAAATTTTTTTGGTATTAAATTCTTTTATTGGTACATTGTAGGTGTACAATACAATTACATTTCTCATTGGGAATTGTGCCTTTACATAATGCATCTTGGTTCTTATTTTTTCCCCATTCCTAGCCCTCCCTTCACTCCCTCTACCCTTCCCTATTTACAAAGATTTTATTTCCATTTTTTCCATTTCTCATCATTTTTCCTT